TCTAAGTTGTGTGTTATTTTTAACATTTCGTCAAACCTTTTTTCAGAGTTCTTAGTTTCTTTGCATTGGGTTAGAACAAGTTCTTTTAATTCCCAGAAGTTTCTTATCATCCACTTTTTAAAGCCAGCTTCTGCTAATGGAACACAGTCTTTCTCCATCAGGCCTTGTTCCATTGCTGATGAGGAACTGTGATCCCCTGTAGGGGGAGAGGCATTCTGATTTTGGGTATTCTCAGCCTTTTTAGGCTGGTTTCTTCCCTTCGCTATAAATTTATCCATCTGTAGTCTTTGTAATTACCGTCTTTATAGTTGGGCTTCTGAATGGACGTCCAACTTGTTGATTCCCAGCGCTAAAATCTGAGCAACCTACTGTGCCGGTCAAAACAGCAGCTTTAAGATTGATGGTGCTTTTCTGACTCTGCACTGAGAACCGCCGCACCAAGGCAGCGGCAAAACCGCCTCACCAGCCTCAAGAGTCGCGCTGGTGACACGTGGGGCTCCTCCGCTGGGAATCTCCTGGTGCGTGAGCAACAAAAATTGATCTGAAAGTGTGGCGTCCTCTTGTTCTCTGCGCTTTCAATGGGAGCTGCAATCCCGAGCTGCTAGTGATCAGCCATCTTGGATCTCTCTCATTTCTTTCTTTTGACAGGGTCAGGCTGGCTCAAGAAAAGCCTGGGCAATTCCAGGCATGGTCACCCAGGCTGGAGCGCAGTGATGTGACCATGGCCCACTGCATCCTCAACTCCTGGGCTCAAGAAATCCTCCCACCTCAGCCTCTCATGTAGCTGAGACCACAGGCACAGACCACCACGCCTAGCTAATTTTTTGATTTTTTGTGGAGACAGGGTCTTGTTATGTTGCCCAGGCTGGTCTTGAATCCTGGGGTCACATGATCCTCCTGCCTTAGCCTCCCAGAGTCCTGGGATTATAGGAGTGAACCACTGCATCTGGCCTGGACAATTCAAATCAAGGGGAAACAAAAGGGAGAGAAAGGGAACATAAATATACAGCATTAGGAATGGGAAAGGCATATAACCAAACATGCAGAGAAGGTTTTTTACTTGTTTTTTTGAGACAGAGTCTCACTTTGTCATGCAGGCTATAGTGCAGTCGTGCGGTCTCAGCTCCCTGCAACCTCCGCCTCCTGGGTTCAAGTGATTCTCCTGCCTCAGCCTCCCAAGTAGCTGAGATTACAAGTGCCTGCAACCATGCCCAGCTAATTTATATATATATATTTTTAGTAGAGATGGGGTTTCACTATGTTGGCCAGACTGGTTTTGGAACTCCTGACCTCGTGATCCGCCCAGCTCAGCCTCCCAAAGTGCCGGGATAACAGGTATGAGCTACTGCACCCAGCCGATTTAAAAAAAAATAATAAAATTATAATAAAATACTGCTTAGAGTTTCATGCAAACAGATTTGGAAATCTAAATGAAATGAATTTTTTTCTAGGAAAATATGATACCTAAAACACCAGAAGAGATGAAAAACCATAGAAAAATGTAAAAGGTTTTAAAAGATCTGATCCCTTTAAACTCCAAGGGACAAATGATTCCTAAGTCACTCAAACTGCTTGAAAGCACAGCAAAAGGTGGAAGCTTCCTGAATCTTTTTGCTGAATTATAGTCAGCACCTAGCAAAGGCAGTACTCTTAAGAAGGGCAGTGCATCTCATTAGAAGGTTCTAGACTCAGATCCACACATACCACCTATATGACTTTAGATATGTAATGGCCTCTCTAAGCCCTAATTTCCTTATCTTTAAAGTGAGAATGATGAGAGTATCTGTCTTAAGGGGTGATGTATGGTTGTAATGGTTCATGTAAAGTGCTTACATGTTCGTTGTTATTACGACAATGAAATTATAAGGCCGGGTGTGGTGGCTCATGCCTGTAATCCCAGCACTTTGGGAAGCAGAGGACAGAGGATCGCTTGAGCCCAGGAGTTTAAGACCCGTCTGAGTAACATAGTAAGGCCTTGTCTCTAATAAGAAAATAAAAAAAAAAAACTAGCCAGGCACGATGGCATATGTCTGTGATCCCAGCTACTCAGGAGGCTGAGGTAGGAAGATTGCTTAAACTTGGGAGTTTAAGGCTGCTGTGAGCCGTGATTCCATCACTGCACTTCTGCCTGGGTGACAGAGTGAGACCCTGTCTCAAAAAAAAAAAAAAAGGGAACCTCATTCCACTTAGCTACAACAATCTTAAAAATATAGCAGCCAATGAAGGCCAATAGTGAATAATAAAACAATAATACACCATGACAAAGTCTAATTTATTCTAGGAATGAAAGATTGGCTCAACCTTATGAAATCTAGCAATATAATTCATTATGTCAATAAAGAGGCATACCATATAATTATCTCCCTATATGCTGTAAAAGCATTTGATGAACGTGAACAGCTATTACTAATACTCATTGTAAAATGAAACCTCCTTAACGAGTTTTGATTAGAAGTATAATTCGGGCTGCACACGGTGGCTCACGTCTGTAATCCCAGCACTTTGGGAGGCCAAGGCAGGTGGATCACCTGAGGGAGTTCAAGACCAGCCTGGCCAACATGGTGAAACCCCGTCTCTACTAAAAATACAAAAAGCATCCAGGCATGGTGGCAGCTGCCTATAATCCCAGCTACTCGGGAAGCTGAGGCAGGATAATCACTTGAACCTGGGAGGCAGAGGTTGCAGTGAGCAAAGATCACGTCATTGCACCCCAGTCTGGGTGATGGAGTAAGACTCCATCTCAAAAAAAAAAAAAAAAAAAAGTGCACTTCAGAAAACACTATATTTATGGTGAGACCATAGATGTCTATTCATTAAAGTCAGAGAAAGGAAAATAATGCCCACTGTTACTGCTGCTATTTAACATTGATTTAGAGGCCTTCACCAATGCAATAAAACAAGAAAAGGAATTTGTTAAAGATCAGTAGTATTGGCAACAGTTACATTATATGAAGGTTCAATTAAGTGGGAAGTGTGTGCTGGTTAGGAGGCTGGGCCTCTGCGTTGTTGTGATGAGCTGGTTGCATGGTGTGATCGTGGGGGAGGGACAGTCCTGTACACAGGATAGCAGTGACTGGAGTTCACTGTGATATTTCTTGATTGTGGTTGCCCAAGCTATAAAGTGTGGCAGTGTGGGATGACGGTGATTGTGTTGGTGAAAGTTCCATCACCATGGTTGATTGTGAAGATGCCTTAGAACCAGGATGCAGCCAGGGGCGGTGGCTCACGCCTGTAATCCCAGCACTTTGGGAGGCTGAGGTGGGCGGATCACCTGAGGTCAGGATTTCGAGACCAGCCTGACCAATATGGTGAAACCCCATCTTTAAAAAAAAAGGAACCAGGATGCTGGTTGTTTTCATGAGTTGAATTTTGTGAAATTGTGAGGTAGTAGGTATATTCTTGGTATATTTGCTGGACGGTGTTTATGTTGATCTCAGCTGTATGAGAAATGTGGTTGTATTCTTTTAGTTCACAGAGCAGTTGGATCAGGTATGAAAGGGACTTTTAAAGGTTTCGTAGGCCAGGCGCAGTGACTCACGCCTGTAATCCTAGTGCTTTGGGAGGCCAAGGTGGGAGGATCACTTGAGCCCAGGAGTTTGAGGCTGCAGTGGCTATGATCACACCACTACTCCAGCCTGGGCAACAGAGTGACACCCTGCCTCAAAAAACATTTTTTTCTAGTTCAACCCATCCATTTTCAGATGCAGGAATTGCATCTCTGAGTCAAAGTAACAGGCAGAGGCTTGCCAGCAGAGGCAGCACTGAATTTGGGTTGCCTGGCTCCTAAATCACGTTGTCCCCTACTCTGTTTGGGGTTTGGGTGCTGGGGGGCCGTTTGTGTCAGGATGTGTGGAGTGGTAGTTTGGGGCCCTAGTTTGAAGGGCAAGTGTTTACAATGGCTGCAACTTGACGGTATTTGCTGTTACATGTGGTCCTTCATTATTCCCCACCCCATCTTGAATGTCATCCTGATCTCTTGCCTGATTTCCTCCCAGAGGCCCCTGGGCACCTACCCGGATGAGCACTTCACAGAGGAGGGCCCAAGGCGAAGCATCGCTGCCTTCCAGAGCCGCCTGGCCCAGATCTCGAGGGACATCCAGGAGCGGAACCAGGGCCTTGAGCTGCCCTACACCTACCTGGACCCTCCCTTCATCGAGAACAGCGTCTCCATCTAACCACCCCCAAATACCACCCAAGAAGAAAGAAAGGTGCAAGCATGAGGAGGAACAGTTCCTTAGGGTCAGGACCCTTCCATTCTCCCTGTTCTCAGTTCGCCTGAACCTTCTCGTCTGCACGTGGGGACCTTTGCAGCCAAGATGGCTCTGACATCATACAAACTACGCCCTGAGCTGTGAGAGGCCAGGACAGCAGCGTCCAGGGTTACGAGCCATTGACTAAAGTCCAATGCACAGCAGCCCCTCAGAAAGGAAGGAACTGCTTCACTTCTTGCTGTACTTTGGGCAGCCTCTTGTTCCAGCCTTTTGGAATGCCCAGCTTGGGTTCCTGAGCTTTTCTCCTTCCTCCTCCTCCATCCCCAAACTCCTTCTCCTACCATGCCTTTTCACTTTCCCTTTCCTGCAAGCCTAGGGCCAGTCAACCCAGCTTCCTTCTCTGGAAAATCCAGGAAACGGCACAGAAAGGCTGTGTGCCTGAGTCTGACATGTGCTTCCCTTTGTCCCCAGCACCTTTAAGGAGAGGGGAAGAATCAGAATGCAGCTTGCCTGGACCTCTAACTGCTATTCTTAGAGACAGGTTCCTTGGCCTGGGGTGTTTGTGGGGATCGATCTCTCTCAAGCTTTTGTTCTACTCCACTTTCATTCCATTTTTTTTCCTTTTTGTCCTTGAGCCCAGTGAATTCAATAAAAAAAAATATTTGGCTGCTTTGATGTGTGTGTGTAGGGGTGGGTGAGGGTGAGGGGGTGTAGTGGGGGGACAGCAGTGGATCCGGGGGTCATCTTTTCTGGACACAGGAATCCAGGGATTATCTACTCTGGGGACAGAAGAGTTCCGGCTCAACCCACCATTCAGTCAAGCCATATATTCCTGCCTTCACCTCCCAGAGAGCGTCATCAGGAGGTGAAGGAACGTCTGGATTCAGGGGACTAAGAAGTGGAATAGTAAGTATTTTGTAAAGCCTCAGAGTCTGGGTAATTAGTGTTGTCACTGAAATCCAGCTCTCCTCCTGGACTTGGAAGACTCAGCCTCTGGCCCTCTTGTGGATGGGTGGAGTCACGAGATGAATTTCGGCTGAGTTGGGAGCAGAAGGGATGTGGGTCATCTCCAGGCCGGTACAGAGACTCCTGATTTCCTTCTCTCTGCCTCTCCCTTCCGGAAGCACGTGTTGTGATGGCACTTGCTGATGTGTCCAAGGGACTGGAGAAGAGGCTCCCACTGCCTGGGCCAGCCATGGACTGGGTGAGAAATAAACTTGTCAGGTGAAGCCACTGGAATTTGGGGGTTGTTACTGTGGTATAGTTGATCCTGACCACGTGGCTGGCAATCTGGGGTGTCTGATTTTCAGCCCCACAGTCCTTAAACATAGAGACCTGTGCAGCCCTCAAGTCAGACTTCCCGGTCTTCTCAATCCACAGCCACCCAACACATGAGTTTTCTGCTTCCCCAGACCTCAGATCCAGCCCACCTTCCTTCCACTGCTACCTGAGTCAAATTCTGTGCCTGACCCAATCCCAGTCATGGCCTCTCTCTGGCCAGATCACAGCGTCTTTGGGCAATGACAGGCCAACTGCCCCCCCCATCCCTGTGGGGTCAGTGGCAGGGGGATCAGATGGTTTTAGCGTCAGCATAACCAGTGACTCACCCAGAGCTTCATGTGGCTGGGGGCTTTGCCTGGCTGCAGTGCGTCTCGGTCCCGGTGTAGACCATGGTCAGTGTTCGTTTCTGCGCTCAGTGGGGATCCACAGGCTGCCCTGGCTGGGGCTGCCGTCATCTAAGAAAATAACACGTGCCTGCAGTACAATCGCAGCTGCACAAAGAGCTCCGCACCTAGCCGAATTTCCTCCCTAACTCAACTGCCATCCCAAAGCCCTGGTATATTGAAATTTTGGGGCAGTCAACTGTCCCCTCACATCCCAGCCCAAGAATCTCCCTGTTCAACCAAACATTCTCCCTTTGCTCCTTGTGTGTGTGGTGGGTTAGGCTGCCTTTGACTGTTGGATTTTAACTTTCTGCACCTGTGATCATGCGAGAAGAGGATCCTCATATCATTGAGCATAAAGAGGTGTGTCTGGGGATATCTCATGTGCAGATTGCAAGCTAAGGACTTATCCCAAATCACCAGTTTTGTTCACTGCACTAAGAAAGGACTAAGGACTAAGAAACACCCAGCGGTGCCCCCTTGTGGCCACCAGGGGTGAGACTGAGGCTGGGTGCGCAATGCAGACCCCTTTGATATCCGGCTTGGAAGCAGCAGCAAAAAGGGCCTGGGCATACTCAGGCACCCTGTCCCCCAAGAGGATGAACATTCCTTGGGCTTCCACAAAGGTAGCATTAGAAGGCATACCTATCCTAAAAAATGCCCCCAAGCCGGAGAGGGAGGGACCAGGGAGGATCATTGGAAACTGGTTTCCCAGAAAGGCAGCTTGAAGAGAGATTTATTGGGCAGACACACCTGCTTAGGTTGCCCTGCGCTGACTCTGGGGACAGGACATAGGGAGGAGGCTCACGTCAAGCTACTGGAGCCCTGTGAGGCTGGGAGCGCCCCACAGCTTGCACTCTGCCCTCCACTGCTTTTTGGTCAGTCTGAAAGGCCACCCGGTCCAATGCGAAGCACAGCAGCCTCCTTCCCCAGCCAGATCCAGGAGAGGGAAGACCTGAGAAGCCCCTTCCTAGGATCGCTTTGCTTCATGGCTTTTGTCTAACTAGAGGCTGTTCTAGATTTTGGGGAAGCAGCTGTGAGCTCCCCAGGCACAACCCCTTCTTTTACAGTTTACGGGTGGTGGAGAGACACAATACATGCATCAATAAACAGACAAAGATCCTTTCAGGCGGTGGCAAGTGCAGTTGGAGATACAACCAATGGCAGGGTAGCATGATGGAGGGCGGAGGGTGGGGAAACACAAGGGTGGTCAGGGAGGGACTCTGAGGAGGTAACGCTGGATGATATGAACAATACATTCTTTAGGTTGGCCACAGCGGCTCATGCCTGCAATCCCAGCAGTTTGGGAGGCTGAGATGGGCAAATCGCTTGAGCTCAGGAGTTTGAGACCAGCCCCGGCAACATGGCAAAATCCCATCTCTACCAAAAGATACAAAAAATGAGCTGGGTGGAGTACGCCTGTGGTCCCAGTTACAGGGCGAGGTGGGAGGATCGCTTGAGCCAGAGAGGTGGAGGTTGCAGCCTGGGCAACAGAGTGACAGTCTCAAAACAACAAACAAACAAACAAAACCACTCCTGAAACAGCTTGAACAGCTTGGGGGAAGGGTGTTACAAGCCCAGGAGGGGCAAATGCAAGGATCCTGAAGGACACGTGTTCTGGGTACAAAGAGGAGGCCAGAGTGGCTGGAAAAATGTCGGGGCATGCATGGTCCTGTAGCCATGATAAGTCCTTGGATTTGTTTCTTGTTTGTTTTGAGACAGAGCATCACTCTACCATTCAGGCTGGAGTACAGTGGTGCGATCTCTCAGCTCACTGCAATCTCCACCTCCTGGGTTCCAGTGATTCTCCTGCCTCAGCCTCCTGAGTAGATGAGGTTACAGGCATTAGCCACCACACCTGGCTAATTTTTGTATTGTTCGTTGAGATGGGGTTTCACCATGTTGGTCAGTCTGGCCTCAAACTCCCGACCTCCTGATCCACCCGCCTTGGCTTCCCAAAGTGCTCAGATTACAGGCGTGAGCCACCACACCCGGCCCTTGGATTTGTTTCTAAGGACATCATTTTAAGCTCTGGTGAACTTTAAGCAGGGGAATGGCCTGATTTGATTTTTTGTCTTAGGAGAGTGGGTCCCCAGGAGTTAGTGGCTCCTTGCCTTGAAGGGCTTGGGATGGGGGCAGGAATAGGGGCTGCCCCAGCAGTGAGAACTCAGCTTCCTGTGTGGGTGGACCCTAGTGAGCCACCCCAGCAAGTGTGAATCCTTCCCAGGAACCTCTCCTGCTTGCTGGGTCCCTCCCCTGGTCCAGGAAAACCAGTTCTTCAGCCCAATGAGCACCTACCAAGAGTCAGGCGTCTACGTTTTGGTCATAGCTGGGGAGTGCCCCATCTACATCCTCATGCCTCATCCCGTTTCTGTCCCTGCCTCAGCCACATTCACATCCTCAGCATCCCTGCCTTTATCTCCATCTCCCTCAGGAACCTAATTCCCACTCCAGACTGGAGCCCTAAGCAAACCCAGGCTCACCCTGGGATTTGGGTAGGGGACACCTCTTGGTAGTGGGCTATGACTCAGTTTGACCACTCCACTGCCCTGCTTCTCACCAAGCCTCAGCAGCCCCCTGGAGACAGGGCAAAGGGGAAAGACTAGAAAGCAGGAGGCTGGGATAATTTGCATGGAATTTGCATCTTAAGATTTGCATCCTCAGGCTCCCAGCATCCTCCAAGAGTCATCAAGGTGGTTGAGGAGGGAGAGCCCAGGATGGAGATCCAGCTGGACAGCTTCCGTCTGCAACCCGGGACAGCCAGCCCTGCCACCCAGGGCTGGGCATGACCCTCATCTTCAGCCTTCTCTCCCCTCCTCCCTCCCTCCCCACCCGGCCCCTTCCTCTCCCCACACCACCCCTTGCCCCTTCTCTCACTTTTAGCCCAAGCCAGCTCTCCTGGGATCTTCACCGTTAACTCCAAAGGCATCATCGATTCAATCCCCAGCCCTGACCTTGTCCTTATCACTAAACCATTCAACTGTTTCTAGCAACTCCCAGGTACCAGGAGATGGGGACAAAACCAAAACCAATTATGGACAGCCTAATTTATTAGGGAAAACAGACACCAATCAAAGATGTTAGCTACAGTGCTGTGAGAGCCATGTATAGTGAAATTTGGCCTTTCTCAAAAAAGCAATTATTGAGCTAAGGTCAGGAAGAAGAGGAAACATGACAGGTTGGAGAGGTAGAGAGGGAAGAGCATGTGCCGAGGCCCTGGGGTGGCAAGGAACTGACTTCACTTCCTTCAGGTCTTTACTCACAAGTCCCCTTCGCCAGGAGCCCTTCCCTGGCCACTCTATATCTACAATTTGCTCCTCTTTTTGTTTGTTTGTTTGTTTGTTTTGGAGACAAAGTTTCACTCTTGTTGCCCAGGCCAGAGTGCAGTGGCAAGATCTTAGCTTACTAAAACCTCTGCCTCCCAGGTTCAAGTGATTCTTCTGCCTCAGCCTCCCAAATAGCTGGAATTACAGGCATGTGCCACCACACCAGGTAATTTTGTATTTTTAGTAGGGATGGGGTTTCTCCAAGTTGGCCAGGCTAGTCTCAAACTCCCGACCTCAGGTGATCTGCCCGCCTCGGCCTCCCAAAGTGCTGGGATTACAGGCATGAGCCCCCGCGCCTGGCACTCCTCTTCTTTTGTCCTTCCCTGTTTTCTTTTTTCTCTTCAACACATATCACTATTTAACATATGATTTAATGTATTTGGTTATTAGGTACTATTGTCTGTTTCCCCACTTGAAGGCAAGCTCCATGAGTGCAGGGGTTTGCTTCGGTCGCATTGTATTTCCAGGACCTGACACAGTGCTAAACACACAGCAGGGGCTCAGCCAGTGTCTGCTAATGAATGAACGAAAGGCACGTGGTCCCAGACGGAAGACAGCAAAGGCGAATGTGAGGGGTGAAGCCAATCAGGCAGACCTTGGGGGCCATGGGAGGGGATGGTGTCACTGTCCCAAAGGCAGAGGAGCCACTGCCAGGCTTGAACAGGGGTGGGAGGAGGTGGCATAGAGGGTGATATGAACAGATTTAGGTCTGGAAAAGATCATTTCAATCCCCGACTCTGGCCACATCTATGTCCCTAAGCTGAACCTGAATTGCAGTCTTAGCCCCATTCCACATCCAATCAGGAACCTACTGGAACCTTCTCTTCACCTCACAATCCCAGCCCCCTCTGGCCCTAACTTGGCCCAGGCACTGACTGACCTTCCTTCAATGGTGACGGAAGCATGCCACCAGGGAGGAAACCAGGGCTGTGCTTCCTGGTTGACAGAAGCTGCCCCTGGGAGGCAGAAGGAAAGAGGGCAGGACCAGAAAAAGGGAATAGTAACATGCCTGCCTCTTCACTCTCTCTCCCTGGGTCCCAAATCCTATCTTTGGAAAGTATATCTCTGGCCCTCTCTCATCATTGCTCCTCGTCTTACTCCCAAAAACCTTATCCCTTTCCCAAGGCTCTCTGGCTTCTGTGATTCCATCAGAAACTAGTTTCCAATCCCAACCTCCCACCGACTCCAGGCTTATTTTCTTCAGAGCACTTAGCATCCAAAATTGTAGTGAACAAATTATCATTTACTGTTGCTTTCACTTCTTTCCCAGCTATTCGGTAAGCTCCATGTACGTTTCATTTCTTCTCTGTGTCTGCAGTGCCTAAAACGCCGGGCGCCATGCTCACTACACATCTGCGGGAGGGAGGGAGGGAAGGAACGAATGATCTGGTTCCCAGCAAACCCAGTTCCACTGGAGCCCAGCCCTGACTCTGGCCCTCTTCCTAGCTTCATTCTTTTTTGGCAGGGAAGTGAGGATATGTACTTTATAAAATTAAGTGCCCTATAAGCCCCTCAGATCAAGATAAGAACACTTCCAGGCCGGGCGCGGTGGCTCACACCTGTAATCCCAGCACTTTGGGAGGCCGAGGCGGGTGGATCACGAGGTCAAGAGATCGAGACCATCCTGGT